CTATATATATATATAATATTTTATATTATCCTTACTTATCTGCTATCTGATTTGTATAGCTTAAATATAGAATATATTTATCGCATAATTAACGTTATTCTTTGGTTTTTTTTTAGAGTCCCTAATGCAATGAAAGGTCGAGAATCCACTGATGTGGAAATTTTCGGTATGGAAGGAATTCCACATTCAGATATGCTGGCTCATGTGCAAGCGCTCGAAAGTGGACAACCCTCAAAGAAAATCAAGGCAGAGGATCCAGTTGAAATTTCAAGCGAGGAGCTTAAAAAGCAACTTGCGCAACATCAGGCCATGATGCAGGGTAATCCTCAAGGTGCATATTCTTTTTCACCTGGATATACTATTCCTCAACAACAAAGCTTGTCATCGTTGATGCCTCACCAGTATAGCCAATTTTATCAAAGACCTATATTAAATCAAGCACCGTATCCACAACCCGGCATTTTCCGACCAAAGTAAAACATTAAAATTATACATTTATTTTATGATATACGAACAGACTGATGACCGTTTTTGTGTCGGTTTTAGTGCGTTGACAGGACAAACAGCACCTCCCGTTCCTGGCCAACCATGGCGTCCTACTGGTACATCTGCACCATTACTTGGAACTACACAACCGTTTTTTGGTGCAACGTCTTCTAACAACAGTCAATCATCAATATTTCCACCTCGTCCCGCTAATACCGTCGCACCTGCATCTTCGTTATATCAAGCTCAATTAATTCCTACATCTGGTCAGCAGTATCCGTCTTACAACAATGGTCAATCAGCAAATTCTTTAACACAATATCAGCAAACATTGCCCAATTCTGCTGTCATTCCATCTGTGGGTGAAAGTGGAACTCAAGTTGATAGTATGGGCGATCAATCTATTACACAGCAATCTACGCAAAAATCACAGCAAAAAGTAACATTGATTTATAGCGATAATGAAATTTCGATGGTATGTATCTGTTTGTTTGATTTATATCTTTTTATTTAATAGCGTTTTACTAGTTCTAACTAAAGTTCTTTATTATTTATTGGAATAATAGGAAGAAAAAAGAGCGGAGCATTTAAAAAGAGCGGAAGAAGAAAAGAATCGGTCTAATGAGGATAATCACAGACAGCAGGTGCATGCTCACGATCTATCTGTCCAATCTCGTATTGCAAATATCAAAGGGAGGGTTATGTGATAGGATGGTAGTGTTTTTTATATGTCAGCCTTCATTGTTTTAGATTGACTTCATGTGTTGGGCAGGATTATCTGGTAAGGAAATAAAATCCGGTAAGCGCAGACAACAAATTAAATTGCCGCTTATTGTGATATATAAACCGTTCGTATTTCCCTGTTGCATGATTCCCAATTGTTTCATGAGCTGGAGATACATTATTTTATAATTGTGACCTTACTCTATTTGGCTTAGCTAATTTTTATTGAGTGTATTCTATAACCTTCATCACGATTCTTGGCTTCTCTCCGACAGTTTTTTTTTTCCTTGGTTTGGGGTTTGTATAATTCCTTATTGCCCTTGTCTTTTGCATATAACTATTAGAATATAACTTCAGATAAAATATTATGTACAACAAAAATATAAATATAATATGTCAGGTTGGTTATATAAAGGTAGGCAAATTTTATTGAATGGTGGGTGTTTTGATGTATGTTAGTATGTTTTATTTAAAAAAAAATAAAAATAAAAAATAAAATAAATGCTTAAAAACAACTTATAATTGTTTTAATAGGATTTAAATTATTTAAAATCGTTACTAGTTTCAAAATTGGTATAATGCATTTATTTGATTAGAAGTTAATTGCAATTTTTTTTATATATACAAATATTAGTTTATTTTTAAATTATATAATTTAAAAATTTTAAAGTTTATAGTTTATATTTATATAATATGCTTTTAAGTTTGTAAATTTTTTATTAAAGTATTTTTATTATAATTTAAAAAACTGGTTAATAAAAAGTTTAAAAGTTTTAAATTATATAGTATAATATATAATATTTTAATATAATATATATAAATAAAATTTATAGTTATTATTTAATTTAAAATTAAATTAAAAGATTTATTTTATAGTACTATAGTACTATAATGCTAGAGTATTGTAACTAATTAAACTTTAAAATTAGGTATATAGATTACTCTTTTTTGTATAATAATAATAATATATAAATTTTTAAATTTAAAATTTTAACTAAAGAATTATTTTTTGTTTTAATAAAAAAATTTTTGCAAAATTTTAGTATAAAATTATATTTTGACTAACTTTAATTATAGTTCAATCTAACTTTAATTAAAAATTTTATTATTTGTAAAAACAATATTATTTTGATTTATATTTTGTATTTATATATAGGATAGTACTATAATACTATCTCTTAAACTATATTCCAGGCAAATTTGTCTAGAAAATTTAATTATATTTAGTATTTTTAAATAAAATAATAATTTATTAATAATATGAGGTATATATTTATTATAGAATATATTCTTTTTTTTTTTTTTTTTTTTTGGGTGTTAAGGTGGCCTCTTGGCTAGCTCTTTTTATTCGGTTATAGTTAACTTTTACAATATGCGTTTATAGCATCTCGTATACATATTTGGAGAGTACAT